TAAAGGCTTACAAGGTCGAACTCTAACTATTTGGGCAATTTTCTAACCATTAACACAAGTTTCCTAAATTCCGACCCCGGGCCCACGTGCCCGGATTCCGAGATTTTTCGGAGGAAGTTGTTCTCTATCACCTAAGGATCACAAATATATGATTTCTAGTTCATTACATGGCAAATTTTTATGATAAATTCTTAGTTTTATTAAAACCCTAGGTCTAGCTCAAATTCTTGATTTTTACTAAATTTTTGGTGTTTAAGCTACCTAATATACATGTATTTAAGCTATAGGTGTTAAACGGGCAGGTCAGCCCGATTCCGGACCAGCCCAGACATGTTAAAACCGGAACCGGCCGGCCCAGTTAAAGAGTGCTGGGCTGGGCTGGGTTAGGGGTCCGCGCGGGTTGCTCCGTTTATTTTTTAAATACCGGTTACCCGGACCGGTACAACCCGTTAGATGAACAGTGCCGTTAAACCGGTTAACCGGCCCGGCCCGGACCGGCCCAGACTGGTTTAATGGGTAAATTTTTTTTTGGGAGCTTTACATACCTGTCTAACTTTTAAAAATATAATAGTGGTATATTCTAGTATAAATATTTTATATCTTACACATCCCATGAATATACCAATTATTGTATACTTACTAACATAATTTAAAATTGTTTGAATTTAACATATATATCATACACATAATTTGCAAGTATGAATGTGTGATACATGTAATAATAGTGGAATACTTTTGTCACTTTTTGTATGTTTTACAGTGGAAATTGCTTTGAGTATATATTTTATAAGTCTTGATTATACCCTGTGCATATATATTATACGTATTTAAAATGAAAGAAATATATTTAAATCATATAGGAGTATTATATAAGGTAAAATACCGGATCCTAGGTTATAAAAAATATACTGTATATATTTACGGTATAAATGCTCAAATCATAAATATACATCAAATAAACAACTTGATACAATGTAAAAATACATAAGATAAGCATTAAATATATATATAAGATATTAATTTACTTTTTAAATGAAAACTTTAATTTCGTAATTTTGAAAAAAATGTAGCACTTGCAATTTATAAGTGCAATTTTTTCCATCTTTCTTGTATTCTTTATATTAATACAAAGTATTAATATAACTTTAAATAGTTATACAAAATACAAAAAAAAATTAAAAAATACACTAAACCCGGCCCGGCCCGACCCCCTCAACCCGTAACCCTTACGGTTCAATTTTTACCCGGATGAATCCGAACCCGTTAAACCCGCTAAGTCCCAACCCGTAACCGGCCCGGACCATAACCCGTACGGGTCCAAAAAAAAACAAACCCAGCCCGGCCCGGCCCACCCGTTTAACACCCTTAATTTAAGCTAAGGATGAAGGGAAATTACTTAACTTACCAAGTTATGTGGAACCCTCTCTTGGAAGAACCCAAATCGCCTAAGTGTAGAGTGAAAAATGAGAGAAATGAGTTTGAGTTCGTATTAAATGAACCCTTCTGCCCCCAGTTATTTTCGCATCTGCGGATGTATTTCCGCTTCTGCGGAATCCGCTTCTGCGGAATTTGGCCTCTTCTGCGGCTTTTGGGATTTGGGGCTCGACCGCTTCTGCGGTCTGGGGGCCGCATAGGCGGAACTGCTTCTGCGGTCCCTGGGCCGCTTTTGCGGTTTCCCCTGGCCTGCCCCTTCTCCGCTTCTGCGATCTAATGACCGCATCTGCGGTCCCGCTTCTGCGGTCCAAGAACCGCAGATGCGGTTAGGACAGAAGCAGCAAGCTTCAGTCATTTTCCAAATTCTAACTTCACTCGAGCCTCGCTCGTTTGACGCTCAGGGCTCCCGTGCCCCGTCCGAACATATCGACAAGTCTGAAATCACGAGGCGGACCCACTCGAACCCTCGAAACACTCAAACCAACGCTAAATCGAGGAATCAACCCCAAAATCAAATGAATCAAATCATTGAACTTCAAGTTCTTAATTCTCCTCCAACGGGTCAAAACGCCCTTAAACTACTCGGATTGACACCAAATTTTACGGGTAAGTCTTAACTGATATTTCGGACTTGTACCATGTTTCGGAATCGAAATCCGAACCCGATACCTAGGAAAACAATGATTTTTTTAGTTTATTTAAACCTTTGAAACTTTAACTTAACAATTTCACATAAAAATTCATTACTCGGGCTAGGGACCTCGGAAATCGATTCCGGGCATACGCCCAGGTCCCATATTTTCCCACGGACCCTCAGAAATTGTCAAATGACGATTCCGGGTCCGTTTCCCCAAAATGTTGACCGAAGTCAAACTTGGCCTTTTTAAAGAAACTTAAAGAAGCAACTAGACTTATTCTTGCTCAAAACTCTTCTAACTTCCGAACCACCCGTCCCCGCAAGTCATAAATTAGCTAAAGCAAGTGCGGAAAGTCTTATTTAAGGGAACGGGGTTCAAAAATACAAAATGACCGGTCGGGTCGTTACATTTGTACTCTTTAATTGCATTTTCGCTCGAAAATTATCAACTGATTTCGATCGATTTTATTAAAAATATAAAATTACCGACCGAAGTTTGTCGGTTTTTTAAAATGACTGAAATAACCGATCAATTTCGGTCAATATTTTTAATATTAATTTTAATTTATTTTATATGAAAAACCGACCGATTTCGGTCGGTTTCTTAAAAAATAAATTTCACGGGATGCTAAAATAGTTTTCCGCATTTTTGCGCCATACAAAACCGACCGAAGTCGGTCGGTTTCATAAAAACAAATTAAAAAATAAAATATTTTGAAAAACCGACCGACTTCGGTCGGTTTTTTGGTCGGCTTTTTGATCCACTGAAGTCGGCCGTTTGGCAGCGTCGGTTTTGGCCGAATTTCTAGTAGTGTTAAAATATAAATATTTAAGTTTATTTTTCTCTTTAAAATAATTATAACACCTTTGTAGTATTCTTTTTGGTAATTTGACACTCAAAAGCACTTTTTAGACAGATTTCCAAACATAATTTGTTTATCAAATATTACAAAAAGCACTTCTTAAATGAATTGGCCAAACACAAACAATTTTGTTTTAAAAATTCTTTTGAAAAAAGTACTTCTAAAAAAAATACATTTCAAAATAAGTAATTTGACAGCTTTGCCAAACGGGTTCTTAGACCAGGCAAGCTTCATCACTTGCCAAACAAGGTCCTTGCTAATGTTAATACTTTTTTGGAGTGTAATCCGCAACTCCTTTCTAATGTTTAAATGGTTTTTCCATTCGATAATAAAGTGAATCACCCACCTTAACTTTTGTAACAACAAATTAATTGAATCAGAAATACTTTCGATAGTTCCAATATAACGTTGGTTGTAACGTATAAGACCATATAAAAAGAGATCTGATAAATATATAAGGTCACGTTGATCTAGAGTACTATTCGACTTACGGAGGGCTGTTATCAGAGCCTGATTCAGAATTTTAAGCTTATGAGTTCTTACAACGATCTCAAGTTAATATACATAATAATTGGATTAATGAAGTAGGTTCCAAGCTAAATATTCTTATACTTTTAATGAATTTTTTAGTATAATTACAAGGTCTACGCGAAAGTTACTGGGTTCACGTAAACCTTGCATTAGATCCGCCCCTGGTTGTTCCACATTATATATCGTATTGTTATTCAAATGCAATATTTTTTTGATTGGTTATTTAAATTTTACTGTAGCATATTGTTAAATTTGTCTTTATTAACGACGTAAAACATCCCTTTACGTAACGGTCCGTTTGGTACGGTCGCATTTTTATCTTATTTTTCTCTCACCGTGCCCTTTTTTATTATTAAATAATCCTATTTTATCCTTTACCCTATCTCTTTATATAATAATTCTATATAGTATCCTACTTTTCTTTGTAGTATTGCAAGTTTATATTCATATTGATAGTGTGTGACATCATGAAATGATGAAAAATAATTCAAATATTATACGAGTAAATTTCACCAATTTTGAGTTGTAACATAAAAGTCACTTTTAAAATTTTTTGTCACATAAAAGTCATTCAACTTTAATTTTGTAACACAAAAATCACTTTTCTATTTTTGTTACATAAAAGTCATCCAATTTATACCAAGTTAATTAAAAAGTAAATATCATCTGAATTTTATATTTTGAACCAAAATATGACATGACACTCCAAATTAACTAACTAGTTAGCTTAATAAAACCTATTACATGTAATAAATTAATTTTACAGAAAATATGACATGGCTGACGTTTCTTAATACTACTCTCCCTTGTGCTTTATGAGATTATGTTTATCTTGGTATTTTGATTTTTTTGTAACAACTCGAAGACATGGGAACTTCATTTGTCGTTTAATTGCTTGATGCTCTAATTACAATGACTCTTTGCTAATTCAAAAAGGTATTTATAAAGTTCACTAAACAAATGAATATAAAATAATACGGGCAAAATAATTAATTTTTTTTACATTAATAATAAGGAGTTAACAAAATTATTACAAAATCAAAATAAGAAAAGTATAGTAGTTACATGTATAAGATGGAGAGATAGAACAAAAAGGACAGTAGGCTGAGTTGAAAGCCAACTGTGGATATGTAAAGTTTTAATGGTGATTAATGAAATCTCTAATTACCAAAAAAAGAATATATATATAATATTCGTAAATAAACGTATATATATATATATATATATATATATATTATGATACGATACGAAACAACCTTCCAACAAGCTGTTTGACCCGGGACATCTTCACCGTATTCACCGTCAAAACATCTCACGAACTAAGCATGACATAAAGTAACGTGATAAACAAGATCTTGCTTGCTTACATAGACGTTGATGGATTAAATATAGAATATTGAAGATGACAACGTAGGGGTATTCAGTATTCTTGCAATATAATTAAATATAGGGGCATCCTTGCAATCGTTCATAAATGGACACATGTAAATAGAAGCTTATGTGGACAATTTAACATTTAATCAGATGGAGCGAAATAAATCAGGGCCAAAACTTCTTATCAGTTCCATTTATTTCATTTAACAGCTTCTTTATTAATTATATTCGTCTGTTGCTAATTAAACAGCAGGATTTACAATTCATTTTAGATCGGCATAAAGACAATTGATCACCATCTAAATTTAACAAAAAAAAAAAAAAAAAAGGCGTTGAATACAGAATGAGACTCCTCTTGATAAAGATTCAGTAATCTTTTTTTGTCGGTGAAGATCCCTCCTGAGCGCCTTCTACTTCAAATAGGCCATGAACTAGATCAGAATTATTCTAAATGAGTCCACAAGAAATGATCATGATCATACTTATATAATATATTGTATAACTCATAATAGGACCCATTCTTCTATTCTTTCTCGGATGCCGGTGACTGTTCATAGTAATTACCTCAGTTAATTAGTGATATTTTTGCAGTCATATTGAGGATTTTTGGGACTCCCCTAACTGTGATTTTCCTTGAGGGCCCTTTGTCCTCATGTAGAGTCTATATTCATTAAAAGTCATTGGTGGATACAATGGAGGATTGTGTTGTGTCACCAACTCTTTAGCTGGTTCTATCATCAAATCACCGCTGGGATTGTAGAAAAATGCAAGGGAAACTCGTTCGTCTGCTGAATTCACGATTACTCTATGCTCTACACTTTTGTAAATAGCATTGCTTAGTACCTACATAAATAGAACAATAGATTAAGTGCCAAAATAAATAAATGCATAACTATTTAATTGATGATTTTGTTTGAAGTTTTCCAAAAGCTGAGTTTGGAAACAGAGTAGTTAAACAAAACTAGTTTATCAAATCCAATTAATCATGGGATAAAAAGGTACTCCCTCTGTTCCAGTATATGTGAATCTATTTCTTTTTTGGTCCGTTCCAAAAAGAATGACCTTTTTTTAAATTTGGTAACAATTTAGCTTAAACTTACAATTCTACCCTTAATGAGAAACTTTTATAACCACACAAATACTCTAGGCCCCTTTTCGACTTGTTTAGGACCACAAATTCCAAAAGTCTTCATTTTTTCTTAAACTCCGTGCTGCTCAGTCAAACAGGTTCACTGCATGGTAGTTAATATCGGTGGAACTTAGGAATGTACTAACAGCCAAACGTCACCATATTTTGGCGCACACATTGAGACCAAATGTTTCTATATTGAAGTTTGTTTAAGCACACTTCTTTTTCTTTCTTTTTTAATTTTTTTTCCCTTTTGTTAAATCTTTTTTCAAAAGATATACTACTTGGTTAATTTTTTTTAGGAGTTCTCTTTTATGAAATTTTTCTAACTGAATACTATTTCTTTAACAATAATTAACTCTTACTTAAAAGTATATTAGACCAGTTCTATTGAACAAAACAACAAATCAAATATTACCACCAAAGATTTGGTGGGACATATACCAGATTCCCTCTATGATACTTTTTTCTAGAGATTTTAGGTTCAAGCCGGAGAATGATAAAAACCCTAATATTTAACACTTCCTTTTATTATAGAGTGTCAAAATGGGAACCAGATACCATATAAAGAATATTATTAATAATATAATAAAACTAGAAAAGCAAAGCTATATCACATGGATCATATGTAATATTCAACAATTTAGAAACCTTACGAACAGCAGCAACAACAAATCTAATGTAATTCTATAAATTTAGAAACCCTACCCTCCAAACAAACAAAAAAAACAAACAAACAAACAAACAAACAAAAAAAAAAAAAAAAAAAAAAAAAAAAAAAAAAAAAAAAAGAGGAAGAAATAAAATGACGTATTGGCATATAGATGGGCAATGTGGATGCTAGAATCAAGTAGGATTTTCAATTTTGGTAGTGTAGTGACCTCAGTCAAAGATTGCCTACTGTACCTTATCTTCTTTAGATAGAAAAAAATAGAGTTGAGGTACTTTCACCATTTACCCACGTGATTAAATTAAATATACGATTGTCGGCAAAGAATCTTATGGCTATTTTTTTGTAGTGCCATCGTTAATATATCAATTTTTCCTTGGTTGTCCACGTGATAGGTTCATTAATTATAAATTCAAGTATTATGACTTTTGCAAAACTTATCTAAAAGCGTCATTACAATTGGTCATATCTTAAAATGTTTTTGAAGAATATCCTCAATGATCTATATCACTAAAAAAATCTTGAATTTTTTAACAAAATATATGTTACAGTTGCAACTTGCAATATCACTTTCGAAACATTAGATGGAATTTTTTATTTTTTTTGTTCAAGACATTAGATGGAATTTGATAGCATTTGGTTTTTGTGCATGTGCTAAGAACCTTTTTTCCCCTATTTTTTAAAGCTGTTGTAGCTAACTAGTTTTCTAGTGGGGGAATTACTTTTGAATTGTATTTGAACATAAATTTCACTTGGATGTGATTAAGAATCATAATTTTCAAACAAGATGTTCAATAATTCACCACTATATTTACTATAACAGCTTAACTATTTGCAAAATACTGAAAATAAGTGCTATTCCATTCTTTCCAAATTATGTGTTACTTTTTACTTTTCGAGATTCAAATTATGTGAAATATGATCAATATTTTTAAATATAATTTTTTTAATTATATTGAAATGAGAAGATGTGAACTTAAGTACTTTTATAGTTTTTAAATATCTTGATTTCGATTTTAAAATATTGAGTTGTTTTAATTCAAATTATTCTCAAAAAGCATAAAGTGAGTACTTATTTTACGATGGAGCAAGTAGTATTTGATGGTCAAATGGGTGTTTATCTAAAAGTTAATTAAGACTTTTCCTTAATTAAACAGCTGGTTGATGCTAGTATGTCTTTAAATATCTTGTTTTCATTCTTCTACTTTATCAGAACGTACTGACCCAACATCCGGTAAGGCATGATATTAATTAATAACGCACGTTTATAATACTTTTTGCTTTACCACGAAGAAAAGCAAAGTGGTACCGACTGTTCGTTTATTTGCAAATCATATCAAAACAAGACTACCCCTCCCATGTGCTTTGTTCCATTATGTCCACACAGAACACAACATTATTTAAACATCCGAAAAGGCCTAAAAATGTCACTCAACTTTCAGAAATGGTTTATTATGCTATCCATTAAAAAATTGCTATTTTCATGCCACTGCCGTTAAAAAAATGACTCATCCATGCCATTATTCACTAACGGCTCAATTTTTATTTGGCCCATCCATGCCACTGCCGTTAGTCAATAATGGCATGGCTGGGTCATTTCTTTAACGGCAGTGGCATGAAATGAGCATTTTTTTAACGGATGGCATGGATAGACCATTTCTGAAAGTTGTGTGGCATTTTTAGGCCTTTCCGTTTAAACATAATGTACACTACTTAAAAATTGAGTACTAAAAAAAGAAGTTAATTTTTGTAATTTAAGTCACCTGAATTTGATCACCAATATTGACGATGAAAGCATGCGAAGCTGGTTTTACAGTAATCCAGTCGCCGTCGCGGCGAACTTGAAGGCCGGCGACGTGCTGATCAGGGAGAAGAATGGTTAAGCCACCAGGATCCGAATGTGGAGAAAGACCTAAGGTTAAATCTGGTTGTGGACATTTTGGGTAAAAATTAACTCTTAAACATGCTCCAATATCTTCCCCTCCAAATACATCTTGCAAGTAATCCTCTCTTAATCCAAGATTTGCTGATAATACCTTCATTAAACGCCCCCCAAAATTCACCACTTGTTTTGAATACTCTTCAATTACTTCCCTACATTTTTGTGACGTACACCATTTGCATAAGCGTTCAAATTTATACATTGATCAATTGTTACAAAATTACAAGTAAATTTTTTGACAAGCAGTAGATGGTAAGAATATTAACTGTCCTGATAGTGTGAAAAAACTTTTATATTAGCAGTGTATATATATAACTTAAGTAAAGACTCCAAATTATTAGAACTATAACAAGAACTTAATTAAAAATAGAAATTTATATTTATATAAGAAATAAAAAGCAATCTGTTTTAAAAACAAAATTTTTCTTTTACTTTTTTAAAAATAAAGTCAAGCAAATTGTACGTTTTTACAAGAATTTAACACAAAATACCCACGTACAAAAAAAAAATCGTTTAAATATTTCCAGGAAACTACAACTATTTGAAAACCTACTTGCTCGGAAATTAATTAAAACAAGACATTAAATTGAAACCCACCTATCCTTTCTTATTTTTCTTTAAGAAAAAAATCATGTACTGTAATAATAGTATCCACAAAAAAAGGTAACAAATCTTGAGGTTAGGAGGACCCCATAAATATGAAAAGTTTTATTGTGTACTTACCTGCTCCTTTTTGTCACAAAAATTTGTGGCCCCAAATCTTATACCTCTGGGTCCATAAAAATTTGGGTCCACAAAATTCTAAGACAAAAAAGATATCTCATATAAGTATTGTCATGAGATACAAAATAAAATTTCCCATAAATTTAATCTTCAAAAAATTCATGAATAGTTGAAGAAAAGAAAAAACAAAGAAGGACATGATGAGAATATAACAGTACGTAGAGTAGCTTTCCAAGAAAAGAAGTGTGGCAGAGTAGTACGTACCTTAAATAAACAGGAAGAGCAGGCCACTTTTTCTGGTCTTTCAATGAACAAGGAAGATAGTGAAGAAAATAATAGTCACTCCAATCCAGAATAGCACCTTTCTCTACACCAAGGCGGCTGCCATAACCTTCGTACGTCTTGGGTGAATTGGCATAAGACTGCTTCACTTCCATGGGCTGGTGAAAGAATTCTCGCCATACTTGTGTGGCTTGGTCCATGAGCTCTGGAGGAACCCCGTGGTTCACCACCTGGAAGAAACCCCAGTTCCTACATGCCTCTGATATCTGCTCAACTACTGATGATGTAAGACCACTAAAACTTCTGCTTTCATCGTTAAACAATCCCTGAAGATCAATGATCGGGATGTTAACATCAGTCTGCAGCTGGTTGGACCTGCCTAATGATATTGGCCTCTCCGTTGGTGGCTTCACATATCTATCTGGAATTTTGGAGATGCCACTATCTGATAAAGATTGTACCCGCACAATGGGTTCTGGCCAATCTTTGGGATTATTCATTACTAGTTTCTTTTTTCTGTTTTCTTTAGGTTTTTAATTTTTTCCAATAAGGTGTCTGATTATCTCGAGCTATAATACAAAGCAAAGTATGATGATGATGGTGATTAGACAGTACTTTACTTTATTAATACTAAGAAAATCCTATATAGAAAGGCAATAAAACGTCCGTGTTTGGGGACACATTTAAAAGAGAAAAAGAAAAGCAAGAAAGACGAGGTGTTGGGGAGTTTGCAATTTGCAAATGATATCTAAATTTATAGAGATAAAGGATTGGAGTAGGGGGAGGCATAAAAAAGTTGGAAGGTTGGGTGGTGTTATGTATTAATGAAATGGACGTGAATGAAAACGTGAAATATGTGCTCTAGAATATGGGTGGTGTGGGAGTAATTGGGGTCTGATCGAGTGGACGAGAAGGATGAGTCACAATTATCTTTAGCATACATATATAGTGCAAAGCTGACTTATGAAGCGGCCAACAACGACATGTCTTTTTTTGACATATAGTAATGTAACTAATTTAGATTCACATCCAGTATATTTATAAAGCTATACAAATTAAAAGGTTACGGTACTCTCCTATTAAGGGTGATGAAAATTCAACTATCTCACCACACCTTTAATTTTGTGGTACTATCGACATATCGATGACAAAAATAATTTAAAGTCTTTAGTGGTGGTAAGAATTTCGTATCGTCTCATTTTGTTGGATCGGAAAATGCGCAGTTGAAAGCTGGAACAAAAACTTCATACAATTTGCACATGGTGTTACCACATTATTAAAAGGTTACATTAAATGTTCGAAATCTTATTTTTCTTGCATAGACACATAACCTGTACTACTCCAAGTTTTCCCCCAATAGAACATACAACTAAATAATGTAAGAGAACACACTCATACATAGATGTGCTTCTTTCTTAAACTTAAGGGGCCACCTGCTGGGATGCCACCAAAAGTAATGACTAGTTAAGACTGAAAACAAAATGTTATCTGCAAGTAGTACAGTGAATGGGGCCTCTTTCTCTTTATCACGGCGCCGAGAACAAATTGGATATGCATGGGTTTGTTGCCCATTAAATGAAGAAAATATTTTTTTATAAAAAAAAAAAAGTTAACTCTTTGATTGGTTTGAGCACAGAGATAAAGAATCTCAGTTGTGCACCAATCGGTAAACAACAACCAGTCAATTTTAAGAAAGCTTTATTCGTAAAGCTAGTTTGGTTGGCACCACAATTTTCAGGCTTTTGCTAGTGACATTTTGTCGATGAAAGAAGCAAGAGGATAACTTAAAATAAAATAGGTGTTATAAATATATAAATGCAAGACAAGAAATATAGTCAAAGATTACAGGCGAGCTATTTATAAATAAAAAAAATAAAGCCGCTGCAAGGCTTTTAGAGCTGCTTGCAAGCTGCCTGCATGAACTGCTCGCAACTTGCATGTCTTATCAAGAAACTGCTGCAAGTCATTTTATTGAGTTGCTTATAACCTGCCTACATCAACTACTTGTAACATGCCTGTTTTTTTTAATGGTAAGTAAAGATTTTATTTACCACATAATATTTACAAAACATAAGAAAAAGAGAACACACACTGGACATACAGCCCAGGTGTGTAAGCTTTAACGCTCTTCCTTATATATCAAAAAAAAGATCGTATACTAGATACATCAGTTAAGCACAAAAATAGTAATCTAACTCTTGCAATCTTCTAGCTAATTTCTGCTTCATTCATCCTCTACAATTTATCTCTTGTACAATAGCTCTGATCAACAACGTTGCATTTCTACTCTTAACTTGAAAGATCCTAAGGTTTCTCTCCTGTCATATATAGTAGGCGGATCCTGCTAGGCTCATTCTGCAGACTCAGCTGATGCATTCTTACCCATATAATGTGTGGTTGCTCATTCTATCTTCTGTTGCCAACTCATATGTTGCCGTCGTATGCCTTGCCACTGCAATATTGCTCTCCAAACTTGTGCAGAGAAGGTATAGTTGAAAAACAAATTGTCAGTGTTCTTTACTGTAGCATCACATAAGGAACAACCATATTATCTAGACATCCCCACTTTGCTAGCTCTCCTTGGTAAGCAACCTGCCCCATGTGGCCGAATACATACTGAAAATCTATTTTGGAGAAGCAGCATTGTACATACTAACCTCCTCCAATTAACCTTCTCCTCTTAACTTCAGATCAATTTCCTTGTTGGAGAACTTCTCAATTCTTTGTACCTCATCCTCTGTCCAGCCAAGTTCCTCATAGTATTTTTCTAGCTTCATAATCTTTTGTACTATCCATGAGGCTTGCTTTGGTTGTGCTCCCCACACTGTACCTTGCTTCCCATACTAAATATGAACCCACTGCACCCACATCTTATCTTTCTTCTTACACTAATTCCATAAGAGTTTACATATGGTTGCCTTGTTCCATGTGATCATATCAAGGATGTTAAGCCTCCTGCTAATCTAGGATAACATAGTTGGTCCCATGCAATCAATATTTTTTTGACAGCTCAACACCTCTTGTAGAACACTTTTGATCAATTCAATTTACCGGCATATGATAGGAACCTTGTAGTCCATGATTGAATTCTCCCTAACATCTTATCAATCCGAGGTTTGCATCGTGATATTGATACTCTTTTAGTGCTAAGGAGTACCCCTAAGTATTTGATAGGGAGTGAGCTTGCGAGAAGCTTAGCAGGTGCAATATTTGTTGTTGAATGTCACTATTTACTCCTCCAAAATATATGAAACTTTTGTCTGCATTTGCTACAAAACCAGAAGCTTAAGAAAATTCTTGAAAGTGAGCATACAACAACTGGAGATAGTATCTCCTCTGCATAACAAAAGGTGATCATCAACAAAGCTTAATTGCACAATATTCATCTCGGAGCATTTTGGGTGATAGTTGAAATTGGGGTTCTTCCTTAGTTTCTTTAGAAGCCTTGTGAGGTATTCCATTGCCAAAACAATTAAGAAAGGTGAGAGGAGATCTCCTTGTCTCCATCCTTTCTTGGTTGGGAAAGGTACTGTTGGATGACCATTGAGTATTATGGAGTACGCTACAATCTTGATACATCTCATGATCCATCCAACAAATTTAGCTGAAAATTGTCGACATACTAAAAATTGCTCCAAGTAACCCCATATTAATGAATAATATGCTTTCGTCATATCTACTTTTAACATGCATCTTGGAGATAATCCCTTTCTACCATATCCTTTGACCAATTCATGTCTAAGTATAATGTTGTCACTAATGAATCAACCAGGGACAACAGCAGATTGACTTTTATCCACTAGCCAATCTATAGCTTTCTGCAGCCTCATAGTAATCACCTTTGAGATTAACTTGTATAACAATGTGCATCAAGATATAGGTCTGTACTCTGTGATCTTTGAAGGATTAGCAACTTTCGAAATAAGAGTGACAGTAGTGTAATTGATAGCTCGGTACAAATTTGCTTTGGAGAAAAATTCCTGCACTGGAGCAGTAACTTCATTTCCAATAACAGGCCAAGCTTTCTTAAATAATATGACATCAACGCCATCACACCCAGGTGCTTTGAGATCACTGATATCTTTCAAGCCTTGATATATTTCCTCACTTGTTATAAGGGCAATCAACTGAAGTTGTTGTTCTCTATTCAAAACTGGGCCATCCCTCTTGACAGTTGGGTTAATTGTAGGTAATTGTTCTGCAGGAGAAGGATTTTTACTAATAAACCGATATTCAAAATTATTCCATTGATCCTAATAGCTGCTTATAGAAACAAATCACCTATTCTTCAAAGGACTCCTTCGCTTGTAATACTTCCCCATTACTACCGATGATTCTCTTAATCTTATTGTAGGCATTTCTTTCTTTCAAGCTTGCAAAGATATAGCCAGAATTAGTATCCCACAGATTCAACTATTGAACTCGAGATTTCTATATCAATATGCTCTATTCTACATTCACCTATTTTTCCAACTGCAATTTCATATCTTTTTCAGCTTCAATCATGTTTTGAGATTGGCTTGGTTTTCCCATTTGTTCTTGTTGCTCTAAGAGTTGTTGTCTGCATTATTTCTCCCTATTCCCCACACCATCATACTCATCTTTATTCAAAGCCTTCATTACATGTTTTACCTTTTTATGTTTCATCCAGACTGTTTCCATAATATGATCTCCTAAGTTTCCATTCCAAGCTCCAACGAGTACTTCTAATAAATCCTTGTGTTCAACCGAGTGGTTCAGAAACATAAAAGTTTAGGTCTTGTGTCCTCCTCAGCACCAAGCTTAATACTAAGGTGAGAGTTATCAGAAAAAGCAGGCTCCATCACTAACACTTCTAAGTGAGGCATACTTGGCATCCATTCAGTGTTGACCTTATATCTATCCAGTTTACTACAGGTGTGCCCATTAGTCCATGTATAATTCCTTCATGTTAACTTTTTTTCAGGCATCCTAGTATCTTCCATTTTGTGCGACCGCGGAAGGGGCCTTTGCGGCCGCAAAGGATTTTGTGTGGTCCGCGGTGGAGGGACCTTGCGGCCGCACTCGATTTTGTGCGGTCCGCGGTGAGGAAGAATCTGCAGGTTCACTGGTCTGGCTTCGGAAGCCTATATCTTTTGACTGCAAGGAATTTGAGATGATTCAAAAACGAAAGTTGTTGCCCTTCGTGTCTAGTTTCCAGAAAGGTAAAGCAATCGCAATTTGGACATCTGTAGGAAAAGTTATGGGCAAAGTACTAAAGCATGTCACTACAGTCAACATTGTGAGCTCCGCGACCGCAATCCTTTTTGTGCGGTCCGCACAGAGGGTCTGAGATGGGTATATTTAAACGGGATTTTCAGTTATTTTTTATTTTTCAAAACCCCAAAAACATAAGAGGCGGTTTTTCAAACAACATTTCTTCTCCAAAACATTAGTAAGTGATTTCTAACTCATTTTCTTTACTCCTTAACTTCTTTTTACAAGATTTCATCCTAGAATCTAGGGTTTTCATGGTGGAATTGGAAATTTTGGGAAAAACCTAAGAATATTGAAATTTGGGGATTTAGACCTCAAATTGAGGTCGTATTCCAAAACCAATTATATATCTGGGCTCGGGGGTGAATGGGTAATCGAGTTTTGGTCCGAATTTCGGGTTTGGACCAAGCGGGCCCGGGGTCGATTTTTGATTTTTTGGGAAAAACTTTAGAAAACTTATTTCCATGCATTAGAATTGTTTCATTTAGCATTTATTGATATAATTAAGTAACTTGTGGTTAGATACGAGCGAGTTGGTGGTGGAATCAAGAGGTAAAGCGATAGTTGAGGCTTGAATTGTGTTCGTGGCATCGAGGTAAGTGTTTGGTCTAACCTTATCT